TCTCAGGCAGAGGAGAGCTGTAAGATTTTCTAAGATTCTCCACCCCCAGCCCCAAGTAGAATAAGACATCATCATTGATTAAAGCTTCACACTGTTCTACACTAAATCCCTCACCTTTTTTTCTAGGCCTCATATTACATTCTTTAATTAGTTGTATCCTTTCTTCCGTCCTCCTACTTTAAATTAAAAGTCAAAGCAGTACTTTACTAAATCAAATTTAGAATCCATTATCAGAGACTTATTCCCAATATGCTCTTTGAAGGATGAGCTGCTGGTAGAATTCTTCATTAGGTCTGCCTGCATTGCTGCTCTGTTTCTGCAGCAAATAGCAAATACTAAAGGAGAAGAAACACAATAATATTGTTGATATTGCACATACTGTAGTCTGTCAGGATTCCCTAAAACACATGTGGCAGCTGAAATTAGTTTTAAAAAGGTAGCTGCACTGGAATAGCTAACTCACCATCAACCAAGCCAAGGATGGAGAGAGAAGCCAGCATACACTAATTCAGGACCATGGAAAAATAATACCTCAATTTTCTTGTTTCTCTTGGTCCTGTTGCCCAACTGAGCTGTAAGAGTATCTCATTTCTTCTTGTGACAGGCATCTGAGGTTTAGTCTATTATTTCGCACACCATCAATAACATGGGCATAGACCACAAGCCCTGGATACCTCTGCAAACATGCCATACTCCTGCTTCTGCACACATGATTTAATACCAAAATGTGGTGAACGTGCATCTGCTTATTCATCTATGTGCTATCCTTATAAAATGCTCTGTAAGGCTAAAACATACATGGGGAGAGGAAAATACATGTTCGCCACATGTGTACATGCATTTCATTGTGCCATTGCCTCTATATGTTACTTCAAATGTGTGGAGGTAGAATCAAAGTGTGGACAGGGGATGGCTTATTTGGCAAAAGAACTTGAAATATTCACCTTACCTATTGTTTTATGGTAGCAACTTTGCCTGTACAACATGTTTCCATTTCCTACTGTCCTACAGGATTATTATCAGGCATTCAGGATAATTAGTACCCTCACTGATGAACTTTACATTATATCCTCAACAGTGTGGGAGCCATACTGCTGTGATACATTCCCACATGGTTAAAGACTGTTTCACTGTTGAAACAAAGTGCTACCATACTGATTTCCCAACTAGTGTCCCTACACTTGGCAAACCTTTGTCTCAAATGCATGACATTCACCTGAACAAAACTTTGGTTCATTAGCACATATTTGGTTTCGAGGTCAACTTAGTGGACATAGTAGGCCTTGGTCTCGGTGCTGATGCGGAAGAATAGGTGTCAGTCAAAGTCACATGTTGGGAAGTGTCCTTCCTGGATATCAGAGTAGAACTCAGTAGAACTCAGGTCCGTTGTAGCACTTAAGGGTGATTTTAGAGAATGGTCTCAGAGGAGCGATATCAGATATTGCTGTCTTAGTTTAAGTGTTGCCTTAGTTAAGCTTCTTGCATACTTGGCAAGAGTGGGTCTGGTGCTCTGCCCCAAACAAACAAAAAAGACACTGGGAATGTCCATTTGAAAGGGGGGTTTTATTTGAACAGGAGACACAGCTTTTGAAAGGGCCCATAGGGAACATAATATGATGGGAAGGGGGAAAGGGAGAGGAATGTCAAATGTTTAAGTAAAAGAAATACAGTAAAATGTTCCTATTTTTGGAAAAAAAAACTCACAGGAAGAATAAAAAAGGACTGCATAAAAATAGGCCAAAGTAAGCAAACGCAGCTCCAGCATCAAGAGGAATTGTAACCTCAACAGTGGCAAAAAGGAATTGTTGGATTCTTTGAGATGGGTGGAGCGTGTGTACCAAGGGGGATCATTCTGGCGAATGCATGATCAAAGTTCTAGTTTCATTTATAAAGGAAAAAATCCTCTACTTCTAGCTGTCCATATCCATTCGATCCCATTGGCAAAGACAATCACTTCTTCTCCAGACAAATACTGAGTAAGGTATAAGAACAAGTGAACAACCAGGTCTTGTTGTTCATTGACCCCTGGTTTTGCCCTGCTTAGAACTGCAAGCAGAAGGGTCATACATGAAATGGCCTATTTCTATCTCCCCATGCCTCAAAACTTCAGAGGATTAAGATTAATATGCAGTGCCTTTCTTTGATCTGGTGATTGTCACTTCTAATAGAACAGATTTCTAACAGAAAAAGATTTTAGGTGGTAGCTGAAGGGAAGGCTTCCGTATTTACCAGTGAGGCTGAGTGGGACTGGAAGCAACTTGCAAGTACAGAAAAGGAGTATTATGCTGTGTCTTAAGGTGTCTCCCTTGAGGTGAAGCGGATCCAAAACATGATCTGTGATGGGGAAGCCCTACCAGTCCTAAGTGACCAGATTCCACCAGTGCAATGGAAACCAACATTTCTTTGAAAGTATAGATGCCCACTGCCAAGCACTGACTGTTGCCTTTTTCTTCATGCTGAAGAGTTCAATCTCAAATGAACAAGCAATGTCTAATTTATATATTTATTAAAGTATTTCCAGTTCACCGTTTATCAAACGATTGCAGGACAGAATATTGTTGTTATGTGTGATCAAGTCATTTCCAACTCAAAATGACCCTTATGAATTCATCACCTTAACCCTCATTCAGACAATCATCCATACAACAGATTATTATGGCCAGCTATTACTCCTAGCAATTTTTGCTTAATAAAACAATTCCTTATTGCATAAATAATTACTTGACTGTAATATTGCTCGTGGCTAGACTGGAAACTTCCCAAAGACGGAAGGATCTGGATGGTTTGCCAGTGAATACTAGGATGGATTGGGTGTGATCAATGGTAGTCACTGAAAAACTGACATGCCGTATACAAACACCAAAAGGGAGAAAAACAAGAGACAGATGTGGTCTACTTTTTTGAGGTATGTTAATAACAATTCTGCCTTCACTGACCCACTCCAAGGTTCTGGAAGTTCAGATTCCGGAAATGTTCAGCTGGTCCCCTGACCACATTAAGCTCCATGTAGAATCAGCAAAGATTAGTTTTAACAGTTATTTATTAGTATGTTTTACTACCAATAATTTTTTCTACTTTGTATATGAGTATAACTGGATTTTAGAGTAATCGTTTTTAAAATTAAAAATAATGTTTAAAAAATTACCATTCAAAAGCCCAGTCATTAACAGTCCTATTCAAGTCTTGCAAATTAAAGACTGTGGCTTATTTTGTTGAGCCAGTCCATCTCCTGATAATGGCAAAAAACCAACTACATAATTTGGAAACAACCTCTAAGAGTTTAAACAGTTTAGAACACCTGTACAACTCAACCCACAACACCAAAGACTGAGAATCAAGCCATTATTTCATTGGGCTGCAAATTCTTAGGTGAACCAACAGGTTTTAACATGGCAACAAAATTAAAGATTAGTTTTGGCTGTGAAACCTGTTTGATCAAGCTATGGTCAGCCAAAAGGCTTTCAGGTGCTCTCTTTGGGTCCCTGTCAGTGGACATAAGTCAGACACTACTGTTTTTTAAACCAAACTGTGGAACAGCTTTGGATGAATGGCGAAGACGAAATAGCTGCAGTGTAACCTTTAGACTACCTCTAAAACCCAGGCTGAAGATTGATACATTATTGAGTAAAAAAGCAATTACTCTACATGGCCTATGATATTTAAAACATGACGATCTGTTATTGCTTATACTGATTTAACTCGCTGTGGATAGGAAACTGGATTATGAATTCATCTAAATGTTTGAACAAACAGTTAAAGAGTCTGAATGCATCTGTGAACACTTCTAAATCTTTATGGAAGTAACACATTTTCAATGAACTAACTGAAACTTCTCCTCACTCCCACTCCCTAGCAAACCAGGTAGACTATTCTTTCAGGGACCATTATGAATACACAGAATATTTTTACTTATCTGCTCTGTCAGGCTACCTAATTAGCACTCCTCTTAGGTTAGGCAATCCGACATTCTGGGAGTACGGATATGATGTATGTTCTCAAAATTTCTCATCTTCAACGAACAAAGGTCCCCTCCAAAAACTGTTTCAGCTCATTTCACACTACAGTGGTGCCTCGCTTAACGAGCGCCTCGCTGAGCGATGAAATCGCTTAACGAGGCGCTCTGGGCCATCGCTGGAGCATTCGCTCAGCGATGGCCCCTATGGCGATTTTTCGCTTTGCGATATTCGCTAAGCGATTCGCTTAGCGAATATCGCATAACGAAGCGGGGGAGAACAGCTGATCGGCGGTTCCAAAATGGCCGCCAGAAGGTCTGCGCCGCATTTTTGCGCCCGGCCCTCGCTTACCGAGGGCGCGAAAATGGCAGCGCTATGGAGGAACATCGCTTAACGGTGAGTTTTAAAGCCATAGGAACGCATTGAACAAAGTTCAATGCGTTTCTATGGCTTTTTAAATTCCGTTTAGCAATGTTTCGCTATAGCGAAGGTTAATCCGGAACGGATTAACCTCGCTATGCGAGGCACCACTGTATATAAAAAAGCCAACAAGCTTCTCTAGAATTTACACTAAGACCCACATACCCACAGGGGATTGGTTCCATGATCTACTGTGGATGCCAAAAACTGTGGATACGAGGGAACCCTACATGCAACATACAAGGAGGTAGGGAAAGGGCCACAAGGCGGCACCCTTGTAGTTTGTATATAGGGCTGCGGCAAAGCATGGGTAAATGAAACTGTTGATACCGATCCCATAGACAGATAGATTCAACTGTTCTGGAGCATCCACATACACTACTCTTCTCCATGTTAACAGTCTCATCCACTTTATTGGGGAACCTCTGCTTGCTTTCCCTTGAAAGGCTTTGGAGCATGAAAAAAGTGCAGTAGAATGGCTATTAAATCGCTTGTAATCATATATGAACAATCCACTTGTTTATCTGAACTTTTGATTTTCTGCCCTTTTTAATCATTTCCTAGTCATGGAATTAAATCAAGCTGACACATATGTATCAATGAAACAAAATGGAACATTTTTCCTACCTTGCTCTCCACCAAGGAGATGAGAATCCGCTCCATGATGCTATTAATGGCAGGAACAGAAGTTTGAATATGGCCAATGACCACTCCTATGGCAACCCGAGACAGCTCGTAACTGAGATTAGTGTTCCTGCGGACTAACTCTATCAATTCAGCACCTATTGTGTTTGGCACAGAAACTACTAGGCCAGCTGGTTCCTGTTCCACACCCTCCGAACCATCTGATTTTTTATCCTCCAAATGAAGAGACTGAAAATCTTCTAATCCTGCCAGGGCAGCTGGCATGGTCTCCTTGGCTTGTGCGTTCTTCTCATCATTCACATTTGAAGCTTCTGTTTGAGCAGGAGATCGGGGGGCAGGTCTTTTGGTCTGGGGTGATCTGCTTGCGCCCCCATGCTTCCTTTGTATGACAGGGCTGACATCTAAGCTACCTGATACCATTGTGTGGACACTTCTGCTGGGAATAGGTGGAGGGGTGTTGCTGGGGCTGGAAGTAGCCATTGAGAGGGCAGACTCGGTTGAACCAGTGTACAAGGTATCCAGAGATGTTGTGCTGACAGAAGAGGCACTAGAAACTGATCCAGAGGGGATTTCGGCTGCATCTGAAAGAGAACAATTAAAATGTCTTCATAACATCATTGGAGGAGAAGAGGGGGAGAGCCATTCGCGACAGCAGAGTCCATTAAGATGCTCATTGTGTATGCTTCTAAAGTAGTTTAACTACTCTTCCTGCTTCACTTATCTCAAAACAAAATTGTATTAACTGTCTCATGAGTATTCCTGAACACTAACCACTTTGCAGCTAGAGAGAAAAATGGCTGTTCTACAGATAGGAATTTTCTTCAGAGATCTCACTGTAATTCAAGGGTGGAAAAAGTTTTTGTCCCTATAAGATTATGTCATATTTTTCATTTTAGGCAGAAAGCTATTATTTTTGAATAACATGTCTATCTTTTTTTAAAATTAAAAAAGAAGAAGCTGCTCAAATACCACCACCCCTCTTCCTGCAGCTACTTCCAAGTAGCAAAAGATAACACATGACAGAAAGAAACTGATACTTTGCCCATCTACAGTTTACTCTTTAGACAATGGGATTTGGGCTCATAAAATGCATCTTAAAATTGCTCTAGGATGTTCTTCTGTGGGGAATTTCTGCATGCTATTTTGTGCTAAATATTGATGGCACTGAATCTGACATAAATACTGGGGTAAAAAATTAATTCTACCACAATAGAATTCTCAGGGATGTAAGAAGCCCATTTTCTTTTTGTAGTGCAGGTCTGGCTTATTATGGGAGATTGGCATTGGTCCTCTCCACTTCTCTCCTTCACTAATTAATCACATTTCACAATAGCAGCTATAAACCAGATGAGGATTGGACTAAGTGCCCCTGGAAGTTCCAGATGCAGCCTTCCCTGTAGGTAGGCTCTAGAGAAACAATACTGTAATTCAGATGGCTGATTGTAGGTAGGCTCTAGATAGCATTGCAAGTGTGAGAAACAATACTGTAATTCAGATGGCTGAGCCCTACTGCCTTCTCAATAAGTTCATTAGAAAAGCAACAGAGTCCACTCTGGAACGAATTAAAAAAACACAACCTAATTGACCAGTTATGGGAAGAGGATTAAAGTGCCATTCAAAATTAAGATGGAAGAGGACATGCTGATCACTAGTTCTGAACTTTTCTAAATGGGATTTCTCAGCAGCTTAACATAAATATAACATAGGAGGATAGTTCACTGCACAGCTGTGACTACACTGGAAATATAAGTAGGAAAGCAGTGTGTTTTAAAAACATGAACAAGTTTCCAGACCTCACAAGTCCAGATATGAGGTTCTGAAGCATTGTCCGCTAAGCTTTGTGTAATCATGGGGAATGACATTTTCCAGTCTCCTTAGCTCCTTGCCATTATTTCACAAGCCCCATTACACTTGGTCTTCTAGTATTGCACCCAAATGCAATTAGTGTTAACCATTTAACTTTGCATGGCTTGGTATAGTTAAGAATTGGTATTAATCAGTTACAACATATTTTGGATAATGAAAATAAAATTTAAAAATGAATGAAATAGCCGTGCACAATTTATTTTTTTCAGCAAACCTGAAGAATATGGCTAACTTAGTGCCACTATGGTGTGGCACTATACTCACAGCCATTCAAATAGAATACTCAATGTAAACAGAATTTATTTGCAAAAGCAGATTGCAGTTAGCTGGACTATCGTATTTAATATTCTGTCTCTGTTCCTTTCACTGAGTTTAATTCCTTCCTTCCAAAAAAAGAAGGGGGGTTTACTAAAGATTCCTCCTAGCCATTCTTTCCAGAGTTTGTAAGATTACATACTGTGAATAGTGACATAGATAAACAACTTAAGAACCTTATCTGTAAAAATAAAGCAGCACATTCAATTGGCAACAATGCTGATTCTACTACTTGATTAACTTTATCAACTGCACTTCATCCACCAGTCTCAAGAATCAAAAGACAAAAGAGGCATTCCCTTTTTGTATGTTTTTCTAATTGCTAATGTGCCACCTGATGCACTCTTGCTGCCTTCTACTTAAGACACAAAATTAGCAGCATCTACACTCCCTGAAAATATGCCCTTGTAGAAAAGAATTTAAAGGGAACAGTTAAAATATTGTGCCTAGAAATAGGCACTTACTGTGGTTTGGTGCTGTTTGGTCGACTGGGCCCACAGGTGTTGCACGGGCACCCTGGACTTCATGCCTCACCTCCTCCCACGGGCACTCTGCCAGAAGCAACGTTGCAGGCTTCTCTGCCCCACTTCCTCCCGAGTGGGTGAGGTATGGAATCTGAGGTACTTGTGCAAAACCTCTTCCTTGGGAGAGAAGTTTTGCCTGGGATAGTGTGTGCTGGCACTGCCTTGTTGTGGGCATGTGTGCCTTTATCCTTCCTCATCAGGTAACAGACAAAGTGGGAAGACATTTTGTATGTGTGTGCGTGAGCATGCATGCATGTGCACATGCAGCTTGTCTTCCCTTTCTGCATCATTTCACACACCTGAACTGATGAGAAAGGATTTGTATACAGTGGACCCTTGACTTACAGACGGCTTGACTTACAGATTTTTTGAGTTACAGACTTCTCTGGCCGCAAAATTTAGGTTTGACTTGCAGCCTGAGATTTGACTTACAGACCAGAAAAAAACCAAAATGGAACAAAAACGGCCTGTTACGGGATTAATCGGTTTTCAATGCACTGTAGGTCAATGGAGACTTGACTTACATACTTTTTGACTTGAGAACCGCCTTCCAATACGGATTAAGTTCTCAAGTCAAGACCCCACTGTATTAAAAAGTAAAAGCCTCCAGTGAAAAAGAAAAACTATGGATTGGGGGAGGACTCCAGGCTGATTCATATTTCCTACTGTGTTGGTGTAGATCATGACACCAGGGGCTACTTCTGATGGTGGGAGAGGTCATTGCACCTCACTAGATAGCTATCGCCTGCCTTAAGCTGGGCAGTCCCCAGCCAGTAAGGTGCTACCTTGCCACAGTCTGTTAACCTTACAGGCTGCATGGGGTTTAGGGTGCAAGCCAACAAGCAGATCGATAACCCTTCACTGTGCAATAATCATAAGAAAATTGCTGCCCTAAAGTTGGGCAGCTGTAATGTTCGGACAATGAAACCTGACTTTTCTGATGACCTGCAGAAAATGGGCGACGTGCGCAAGACAGCTGTCATTGACATGGAACTGAGTAGACTGCAGATGGACATTGTTGCCCTGCAAGAGATGAGATTGCCAGACACGGGATCTGTCAAAGAAAAAAAAAATTCTTATTCTTCTGGCAGGGGAAACCATTGAACCAGGGAACATGGTGTTGGCTTTGCAGTCAGAAATATTCTGCTGAGATCCATTGTTCCACCTACTGTGGGGAGTGAAAGAATCCTGCCTCCGCAGCTCCAATCATCAGTGGGATCAGTCAACCTCATCAGTGCATATGCACCAACACTGTCATCCACAACAGAAGTCAAACAAAAATTCTACGATGATCTGTCAGCTATTATAAAAAAAAAATCCTGAGAGAAAACCACTGTTCATTCTCAGAGACTTCAACGCTAGAGTTGGTGCTGATCACAATTCTTGGCCCACTTGTCTAGGCTGTTTTGGCATTGGGAAGATGAATAAAAATGGCCAACGCTTGCTGGAGTTTTGCTGTTATAACGGTCTTTCTGTCAGCAATATGTTTTTTTTCAATACAAAGCTTCAACACAGAGTTTCCTGGAGACATCCAAGATTGAAGCATTGACATCAGCTCGATTTGATCCTCACTAGACTTTCAAGCCTTCCTGGTATTACAATCACACACAGTTACCAGAGTGCTGATTGCATAAAACCTAAATGCACAAACATAAGTTATTTATGTTTGATGAAAGAGAGATAAAGGTTTATATAATTCAGAATGGACAGTCAAATTAAGGAGCAAAAACGATGCCAGACAAGTGTCATTAGAGGGGAGGAAAAGATAATAAAGCAGCACAGAGAAAAGATAAAGAAATCATGTATTTTCTCCATAGATTTTAACTGGCAGACAGGTGAGTAGTTGGAAAGTGGTGGTGGTGGTGGTGGTGGTGTGTGTGTGTAATAATATGCTTAGAGGATAAGAAATGCTTTTTATTTTATATATTTTTATTCTTAAGAACTTTAATATTTTAAGAGCTGTATTTTCATTTTCAAATGTGCCTTTTTAGTCTACGTATTAAGCTCTTGCATTTGCAGAATGTAATTGAAACATTCTTATTGTTCTTGTTTTACTCTTAGAACATATGCTCCTGCAATTTATATTCAAATATAGTTTACGTTCTGCCATGTTTTCTTCATAATGCTTAGATTTTTTGGATTTTACAACTATGAAGTATTTTGTGCATATGGAAGATAGAAGCAATGTAGATAAATAAAGCTTGTAAAATTAGACAAGTTGATGCTGCCTGGAATTAGTGCAACAATGAAGAGACTTATACTTTGATACTCAGATGAATTTTGATATGATCATTTATGATTGTTTGGTTTTCATTCTGGAATTAACCCTTTATTGGGATAAATGACAGTTGTGACTAAGCATGGTGGCTCATTTCTTTTCTTGGAAGGCCTACGAAGTTTTGTAGGACTCTGAGGGGTGTGTGTCAAGATTTAGCTGAACTAACCTGACAATGGGACAAAAATAACCCCCCCAAAAAAACCCTAATGATATGTTCATATAGCGAGATGTAGTCGTTCTAAACAAACCACACAGGGAGTGCCCCCAGATTGCTTTACACCTAAACCTGTGGCAAAACTTCTCCCCTTAATGGAGCTTCCAATGGGAAATAAATTAGTTCTGGCCCCATTCCCCACTGCTGATTTATTTAACTGGAAACAAGATCTTCCACCATATCCGGAGGCCCTTCAGAAGTACCTGGACTTGATCCAACGGATCATTACTACTCACCACTCTTCTGAGCAGCCTCTTGCAAGCAGGCTCTTGCTAAGACCTACGCCTGGTATACTACTCATAGGGTTCAACAAATAGCCTATGGCAATGGAACAGTTGATTGGCCTGAAGCAGCAGCCCTCATAACCCGAGTTATTGATCCCAATCCTAATAAGCTTGCTGGGGCCCGCCTGCTGAAAGCAGCAAGAAATGCTGTAATTCATGGCCTCAAACTAGGAGTGCCAAAGGCTGTGAAACTTTCACAGAGTATATAGGATTGTTTTTTAAAAAAAACAACAACACGGAATCCCCAAATGAATTCCTGACGAGGCTCAAGGATTCTGTGGAAAAATAGAGAAGGCAGCACGTTAGTGGATCCCTGCCATAAACTGGGAAGAAGTCATGTCTCAACTTCCTCTATTACCATCTCCATGCAAGAAGTGGAGGTTGTTCATGACTTTGTGTACCTTGGCTCTGACACCATCTCTGACACCCTCTCTCTAGATATCGAGCTGGAGAAAAGTATTGGCAAAGCAGCTACCATGTTCTCTAGACTCACAAAGAGAGTATAGCTCAATAAGAAGCTGACGACACATGCCAAGATCCAGGTCTATAGAGCCTGTGTCCTGAGCACACTCCTATACTGCAGCGAGTCCTGGACCCTTTGTGCACGGCAGGAGAGGAAGCTGAACACCTTCCATATGCGTTGCCTCCGACGGATTTTTGGTATCACCTGGCAGGACAAAGTTCCAAATAGAGTAGTCCTAGAACGAGCTGGAATTTTTAGCATATATACATTACTGAAACAGCACCATCTACGTTGGCTGGGGTATGTTGTGAGAATGGCTGATGGTCGGATTCCAAAGGATCTCCTGAATGGAGAATTAGTGTAGGGGAATCACCCCAGAGGGAGACCACAGCTGCAGTACAAGGATTATCTGCAAGGGGGATCTGAAGGCCTTAGGAATGGACCTCAACAGACGGGGAACCCTGACATCAGAGCCTTTAGCCTGGAGGTAGGCAGTGCATCACGGCCTCTCCCAATTTGAAGAGACCCTTGTCCAGCAGGCCGAGGCAAAGAGGAAGTCACAAAAGCAGCAAAATCAGGGAGCTGGACAGGGGACAGATTGGATTTGTCTTCAGTGTGGAAGAGATTGTCACTCTTGAATTGGCCTCCTCAGCCACACTAGATGCTGTTCCAAGTCCTCCATAGAGAGCACGTTAACATAATCTTTCGAGACTGTAGGATGCCTAACTAACATGTGATCAACAAAAAAAGCAAATCAGCTTGCCCAAAACCCACAGCATCTCTCACCTTTTACTAGTGTAGTTTCTCCCTTAGTATATTGCTACAATATCTGCATAAACCAGTACTTTGCCTTTACACCAGAAGCTTCCTGTTTACAAAACTCAAACAGTAATGGCATTTATCCAGTCTTTATTCATTCCCAAGATTCTGCAAGTGTCTGATCAACTTCATTATGATTGATAGTTCAGTACTGTGGGCTGATCATCTGCTTCTTTTCTTCCCTATTAATTCAATGTTATGCCATGTTATTTGCAGTCCAGAAGATTCATAGTTAATTTTTGCTATTCTCCATATACACTACCATCAATTTCTGAAGAAGTACCAAATGTAAGAACAGTTTCTTGAATACAGTTACTTTTCAGATTCTTGCTCCTTGACATGTTGGCGTTGGTTATGGTTACTGAAAATGGGTTCAGAGGGCAAGGCATGACAAGGTATGTGAAAGGAGATGTCCAACCTCATTTGCAAAGCTCCAATGCAGATGTGGGGAACTGAAAACTCCCTAGATGTTGCTGGACTCCAGCTCCCATCAGCCCCAGCCAGCTTTGCCAAAATAGTGAGGGATAACTGGATAGCAGTTTTTTCACACTCAAAGAACCACACAATTGCCATCTTTGCTCAGGTCACCAACTCAACAGAACTAAATATTACTTTAGAATTCTTTGGTTTATATCTGCAACATTTGATATTTCATATTTTATTAACATGAAAATTGATGGTCCATGCATTAACTGAAACACTTTCTTTGTGGTATGAAAAAAATGTTCCCAAAAGCATAGTTCTACAATGTTCAAATCTGAAGAAAGTGCAGGACAGACCGTGCCCAGAAAAAGGAGCTCTGGTGGGCTCCCCCTGGTGATCGATGGAGTTATCAGATCCTGACCAGGAGAAAGCTGGAATGTTCATTCCACTTGGTTTTAGCAATCCAAGAAAAAGTCAGAAGAAATGTTTCAAGTTACACTCCTTAACCAAGAGATGCAAGTTCTTCCTTCCAGTACTGCCAGGTCTTACTGGTCTTCTGGGAAAGATCTGGCACAACCATTTTCAAGACCCGAAAATGACTGGAAACAAACCTGAGATAATGTTCTTGTGGTACCATTTGTTGTATTTCCTAGAGTATGCCCTCTAAGTCACTGGCCAAAATCATCTTGAGTAGTTAAACTACTGGAAGGAAAATGGCATAACTCACACAGACACTGTTTCTAATTAACAAGTCCCTGCTGGACTCCTGACTATTCATCACTATGAAATATGTAAGGGGAATCTAGCCACTTTATTCTAAGATACTTCTAGATTTCATCTTTAAAATCTCAAAATAAATACTTTGACTAAGATAATGTCTAATACTTGAGACCCTATATTGGGAGAAAGGTGGCATATAAATAAGACAACTAAATAAAACAACTTTTTTAAAAAAAATTCAGCCTCTCTCTCCACCTTACAGAGAATGAGCCAGAGCTCTTGGCAACTCAGTAAGTTAGTTTTACAGAGTCTCTCTGGCCTCAGTGCCATTCACCTGCAAAAGGCGTTTCCCTTACTTTTAATGGAGGCAGCCATCTGCATAGGCTTCTGTTTCTCTGTTGGTGGTGGAATAACAGGAGCAGCACGATGGGGTTGTGGTGGGATCTAGAAGAAAACATTTTAGAACAAGTCAAAGAGTAGCTGTGAACAAGACAGACTCCTCAGAAGAGAGTTTTACAGTTTTGTGCATATTTGTTCCGATATTGCTATTTTCATTCCCAAAAGATGCCCTTGGAGGAAATGGAATGCTAATAATAATCAGCTTACACCAAGAGAAAATCAGAAAGCAGAATTTCTTGAACACATCGCTTTCCTCCCCTCCTGATGACAAGAAAAGCACCATGCTTAATTACTATGTTCAGCAGCGCCCTGCGCTTGTGCTGCACAGACCTGTCAAGCACGTACACTGTGTGTTGCTCTCAGCTCCTCCACAAAGGCAGTAAGCCATGTGCATATTAGATGTACTCGGAGTGATCCATGCAACAAATTATGTTCACAAAGGGATAAAAACAAAAAGAAAAGGCATACAGGCTTTCTACGCATTAATGCATTCAGAGCCATTTTTTACTTCAACTGGAAAAAAAGTCTCAGACTAAACAAGGCCATTTACAATGCCGTTCATTCCCTGCGGAGACTCACAACACAAAAAACTTCAACTACTGCATCGTGTTTAAGTTCTCTATGCACAACACACATCCAAAGTCTCACATACCTACTATGAGCAGATAAGACTGGAAAACTGATTGCAAAGCTAGATCAGGGAGAGGGGAAGAAGAATTGGTCCAAGGACAGATTAAAGAGTCCCCTCTGTCACATTCAGACTTGAAGGAGGCAGCAAGCCTACAACATAACTCTCCACTCTCCATTTCCTTCTCCCAGGAGCACAAAAACAATGCAACGTGGTATATGCTGTAACAAAAGTGTTTATTTAATAAAGGCCAAGGTGGACAATTGCAATTCGCCAGACATGGTTCAACTGCTGCTCCCATGAACCCCAATGAGATAATGGGAATTGCAGCTGAACATTCAAAGATACATTTTCTGGTGGGATGATTGATATCAGTCCAGGCCCCTTAATGCAAAGCAATTCGGAATGCTCCCAACTTCAAATGTCTGCATCCCCACAGACTCTTTAGAGTCCTGCACTTGATCTCCTTGAATTTCAGTCACTCAGATGGCAAGTGATTGAGTCTCTCTTCTCTTGCTACCTATGTTTTTGTTCTAATTTTTTGCTTGAGCCCAACTGGCACTGGATTCTACACATTTTTGCCAGAACACGTCTTGCCTTTTTTTAAAATCAAGGCCCTATCTTCCATTTTATACAAGCTTCCATGCCTGGTCATATTACTTCTTGTTTCTCCCTTCCTCACAATTGGCTAACCCTCCCCTTATCTCCAGGGGCCAAAGCTCCAATCTTCCTTTCTCCACTTGGCTTCAATTTATTTATTATCTGAATTAATATCCTGCACTATCTGGCAACCAGACCACTCTGGGCAGCTAAAAACAATATAAGACATAATATTAAAAACACAATTAAAATAAATTAATACATAACAAATAGGGAAATTAAAACAGATGGCAATAAAGGTGGTAAAAAGGGTGATGGAGAGGATGGCAAAAATAATGGTAAAAAGGGAGGGCGAGATCCTAGTGCTCCAGGAAAGCCTGGCAGAAGAGCCAGGTCTTCAATGCTCTTTTGAACCCATCCAGTGAGGGTGCCAGGCGGCACCCTCGCTGGATGGGTTATCTGTTATCCTTACCGTTTATCCCCTAAGAACCTACAGTGGCCTCTATCTTACTAGTAGGTCCCAACCTTTTTGACATCAGGGACTGGTTTAGTTGAAGACCATTCTCTCTTAGGACCAGGGAGTGGTGGGCGTCTGTGTGTGCAGGGGGTGAGTGGGCGTTGATGCATGCATGCATGCATGCATGCAGTGTGTGTGTGTGAGTGGTGGGTGTCTGTGCGTGCAGGGGGTGAGTGGGCGTCGATGCATGCATGCATGCAGTGTGTGTGTGTGTGTGCATGCATGTGGGAGGCATGTATGCCTCCATGTGTGCATGCAAGGGTGTGCGTGTGTATGGGCGTGCAGGAGTGTGTGCATGCGGGAGTGCGCATGGGCATACATGTATGTTTCTCCAGCCCTCAAAAATCTGTCTGTCTGTGCGTGCAGGGGGTGAGTGGGCGTCGATGCATGCATGCATGCAGTGTGTGTGTGTGTGTGCATGCATGTGGGAGGCATGTATGCCTCCATGTGTGCATGCAAGGGTGTGCGTGTGTATGGGCGTGCAGGAGTGTGTGCATGCGGGAGTGCGCATGGGCATACATGTATGTTTCTCCAGCCCTCAAAAATCTGTCTCAGTGGCCTGGTCCTTCTAAGGCCATGGACCGGTAAAGGTCCACAGCCTGGGAGTTGGGGACCCCTATTCCAAACCATTCACTGCATCTCTCATTCCCTTCACAGTGTCTTCTTTGGTTCCTCCACTCCTTCTATGCCATCTCTTGTTTCAGAAAGAAACAAATAAACGAAAACTGTACAAACACGGTTAGGCTTTTTCACTATGGATCCTCTCAAGAAAACATGTTACCAGGTACATTTACCAGGTGCACATCTCTAAGAAAAAGGATGAATGACCCCATTTATAAAAGAGATAACTAATTCATACCATCTATGGGTCACCATATTTGGACCATTATGGTATCTTTCACTCACAAAAAATGTGAGTATTAGTGTGTTCCTTATTTCTTTTACGATACATGGCATAAGTACAGTGGTGCCCCACATAGCGACGATAATCTGTTCCGAAAAATCATCACTATGTGGATTCGTCACTATGCGGGGCAAAAAATCCCATAGGAACGCATTAAAACACGTTTAATGCGTTCCTATGGGCAAAAAACTCACCGTTATGCAGAAATCCTCCATGCGGCCACCATTTTTGTTGCCCGGTAAGCGAGGAAAGGGTGTGAAAACACAGCGGGCGGCCATTTTCTTTACCCAACGGCCATTTTGGAACTGCCGATCAGCTGTTTAAGAAAACATCGCTATGCGAAAATCGGTAAGCGAAACGCTTACCGATCATTGCAAAGCGATGTTTTACCATTAGAAACATCGCAATGCGGATTCGTCATTAAACGAATCGCTCGTTATGCGGGACACCACTGTATTCCAACACGAACTGTCTTTCTTGGTTAAACATGAAGTTAGGAAGGGGTCATGGCAAGAATGGAAGGCATGCATTTTAATCTGGAATAAGTAGCATGCACTTTTGAGATCAAAAGAAAAAGGAAGAAGAAAGGGTGTAATCATGTGTGCATACTTGCATAGCTTGCATTCTGGATTGCTTGTGGTACAGTCCACTTCAAGCTATCTTCTGGTGATCATGTGATATATGTGATTCCAGCCCAATCCATTCTCAAGCAAGACCTTTTTGGTCTAGTATTAAAGCTACATTTTGGGGCTGGGCTGGAGAGGACTCTTTATTATAAATATTATTCTGAATGTTAAAAAATGGATAGGTCAACACTCAAGTTTCATTAAGTTACCAATTTCTAAGCTTTTATTGAAAGGATATTTTAACTGTGACCATCTGAAAATTCAGAATTTGGGATAAAGAATCATTGAGAAAGACAAAAGGAGGGTATAGAAGTAAGTACATAGGTGTCATGTTCCACCAAGGTGTGTAGTGAACTTAGTTAAAATCACAGCCCCGCAGAGTGGTAGAGTATACCAGATGGGCGGGATATAAATGAATGAATGAATGAATGAATGAATGAATGAATGAATGAATGAATGAATGAATGAATGAATGAATGAATTCAAAAACAGAACTCTATGTTTTTAGAAACAGATTTTTTTTCAGAGTAATCAAAATAGTTAAGGACTAGAAACACAGTATCATGTGGAATTAACAAATTTATTTTGATTTCTAATTCTATATGTATTGTGGTCAAAAGCTTTGAATGTTTTAGCTTACAGCAGTGGTTCTTAACCTTGGGTAACCCAGGTGTTCTTGGACTGCAATTCTCAGAAGCCTTCTCCACCAGCTATGCTGGTTGGGGCTTCTGGGATTTGCAGTCCAAGAACACCTGGGTTACCCAAGGTTAAGAACCACTGGCTTACAGTTATCTTCCATCATTCAAAGCTTTAAAGAAGTGTTATTACTTAAAAGAAGTAATAATTACTCAGAATCCAAGTGGAATTTAGACAATAATGAACTCTTGTTCCCTTAGAAATGTTTGGTCTTCAGTCAAAATGGACACCACAGCTGTGAACAACAGTACAGAGGATGTATTTTCAACATACTGGCAAAATGCCATTTGCATTCCCCTGCCAGTTTCTGTGCACACATCTGCAGCAAGACCAACTGAAGCTTAATTACTTGACACTCTGTAAAATTTACAGGCTCTGCAAATGTACAGGCTCTGGGATTTATCCTTCCTCTTTAGTTAGCTGGCTTCAAAGGAAGTTGTGAGAAAAGGACTTCAGTACTTCACTGGTTTCCATGGAGCTTCCCAATTTGACCCCCATTTGCCTTGTATAACAAAAGATTCTGAAAGCTGCACTGTGGTCCTGAGTGGTATTCAGGAAAACCATTTTAAATATAGCTTTAACTATCAAGCGTCTTCAGCATTCAAAGCCCATGTACAGGAAAAGCAAGAGGAAATGGCTTGGGGAAATGAGTTGAAAGGGAGTAGCCAGTTGCTGAAAGATGGGTTAAGCACCATCTTCCAATTCTCCCCTATAAATGTCCCCATCTCCATCTAGTATTACAAGGCAAACAAAGGTTCAGAATTGTACATTTATCCCATAATACGGAATGCTTTACTGCAATCAGCTTGAGCAGAGTAGACTTGGTCTAGATGGGAGGGGTATAAATTTAATAAATAAAAACATAAATAAGTTTCCTGTGCAGAAGGATAAAAATAAACCAGTTCTAAACATTTGTTGAAGTTGTGGCTTGCAGTTTTCATTACCATTGACCAGATATGAGAGCCTGTGAAACTGAAAAGTATCAGGTCAATTTCATACTTCTGGGGCTTGCTAAAAGAAAAAGGAACAGCATAAGAATAATAAAAAAGAAAGTATGAGAGGAAAACCAGAAGTATTCCACTCTCTTTTTCTTTCTCTTCCTTTTGCTAGCCTGGCAGGGATGACACATTAAATTACATAATCCATCACACCCTTAAATTAGTTCCAGGAATTGACTGTTTCAAGTTTACCATACTCCTCACCAGAGATACTTGCATAAAAACAAAAGAGCACCCATACTTGCTAAAATACCCTGAAGTGTCCCTACCTCAGTGTGTCCTTAATCTGAAAAAGAAGCATGCTTCTCCAGCCTCAGTTCTACAACACCCTTCTTTTAGCTAAAATAGGGCAGTCACTTTACTGATACACATGGAGAGGAATGCTGGCATCATAAATGTGTGCTACAGTGGTGCCTCGCATGACGTTAATTCGTTCCGAAAAAATTGCTGTCAAACGAAAAGTCATGCGATTTTAAATAGCCGATAGAAACGCATTAAAACCCAATTAATGTGTTCCTAGGGGCTTAAAACTTACCGTCCAGCGAAGATTCTCCATAGAGTGGCCATTTTTGCTGTCCGTGCAGTGAGGAATCCATGCCAGAAAACAGGGGGCAATGTTTTTCATCCGGCGGCCATTTTGAAACCACCGATCAGCTGGCCAAAAATCATCGCTTTGCGATAATCGGTTAGCGAAACAGGGGACCGATCATCGCAAAGCAAAATTCTCCCATAGGGAACATCGTTTTGCGATTGCTTTTGCGATCGCAAAATCTTCGTCATGATGCGATTTCGTCGTCAAACTGAGCGCTCGTAATGCGAGGCACCACTGTATATGATTCACACAATTCAAACTCCATTGCTCATTCCCAAATCCATTCTGGCAATAAGAAAAATCTACTGCTCCTCACAATTTTTTTTAGAAGCAATTTTCCGTTTACCTTAGGCAAAACCCATATTGCTTAAAATTATAGTGATGGTGATGTTAAACTGAAGACCAAGGTCCAAGCCATGAAATAACTTTTTGAAGTGGCAGGAAGAGGATTAACCTTAAAAATCAGAACAGATGGCAGATGTGCATCCTTTATTCAAGGCCTATGAAAATATTTTGCTTCCACTGATTCTTGGTTTATCTGTTTATCACAGTGAAGAAACACATTCTATCAAGAGTACACTCAAAGGAGATAAGCCATAAATCCTTTAAACATTGTGTATGGGAAACTTCTTCCCATTCGTCATGGCATTTATGTTCTGCTAGAGCGTCACCGACACTACAGGATCATGACAAGAAATACAGATGGGAAGAGAATTCCATCCCTCATCTTCTCCACAGAGAGGCATTACTAGTTTCTCCTGTCTGTTCCAGAGAGGTTTAATGAGTTTATTTGCCTTGAGTGCAAGATATAAAGCGATCAAAAAAGAAGTTATCATGGCAGGTGACATACTCTATTCCATTCATGAGACCTTTTAAACTCCTATCAAGGTTAATAGCCCCCCAAATCATTGAGCCAAACAACTTATATTCTTCTGAAGCAAGACATAACTCTACTCCTTGAGTAGGTGGGTGGCATCGCCTCCCAGCCCATTCTTTGCTGGGTCAATAATTCTACCACTTCTGTCAGCTTCATAACTTGGTCTACTCGTTTAAACATATGCTGAGGAGTAACAGAAGCCTTTAGCATACAGTTAAAGATGAACTGCTTACACGTCATTTTCCTTCCTCCATTTATCATTAGGGAACAAAACAAATTGTGAATTAGTTGTGCACTGTGTGTTAAGGTAGGGAATAAGAAGCCTTCTCTATTCCATTAATAAGAAGCAGATATAAGTCCGATCGATATTTAACAAGAGTTTGTGAGGTAGAAGAGAAAAACAGGAATGTCCCAAACATATTCTTCCTCAAGGAACCTTCATCTTTTCACAAATATATTACAAAACTGCTGAATACTCTAATTAGCACTCACAGCTCTTCCTTATACTGGCCTCTTCCTGGGAATTTCCAAAAGCTCTGCAACTGAAACTCTAGAGTACTGAAGAAGCCAGGTCTAATATATGATTGCTTCTTTAAAGTGCTTCTTAGCTGCAGTAATTGCAACATAAAAACATGCTGGAAACTGACATTCAACTAATAGCACTCATTTTCAGTTCCTTTATTCTTAAAACAGAATATTCTGACATGGAGAGCCAAGAAGATGACAAGCCTCAGTGCCTGGTAAGAATCTATGAAGTCTGAGAGCTTATAGAATTTATAAATAGCTGCTCCTAGGGAAATTAATATTTATTTACCGCATTTTTTGTGTATAAGACAACCTGATGTATAAGACAACCCCCACTTTTCCAACCCCAAATAAGAAAAATGGGGGTCATCTACTTCGTTCCTACTTCGGGTAAAGCAGACATGAAAGGGCTGCACGATCGCAGCCCTTTGATCCTGCAGCCCTTTCATGGCTGCTTTACTTCGGGTAATGAAGTGGGTAAAGCAGCCACAAAAGGGCTGAATGATCAAAGGGCTTCGATCCTGCAGCCGTTTGATCCCTTCCCCCCTTACTTCCATGTATAAGACGACCCACAATTTTTACTCTCTTTTAGAATAAAGTATTGTCTTATACATAGGAAAATACGGTACTTATTTTCATTCATTTGAATTAACACCGGCAGCAAATAACAAATTGTTACACATTATGAAAGGAAAGGATGCCCTACAAAGAAATTAAAAAATGAGAATAACTAACACATGCAGAATAGCCTGTCTAACATGAAGATGGAAACATGTCAACAGTGCTACCTGGTAGAGGCCTCCTTCATCTTCTTGGGGTTCTGTGTTGGGCAAACTATGATGTCTCTCATATCCAGTCCTGCAGACACCATTGGGTTGCCTGGCTAGGTCCAGATGGTGATCACTGGAGGATGGAGTCATCCCATGAGTAGATGGGGAATGACTTTTACGGGAAACAATTTCCTTCCGATGATGGATCAATTTCCTGGAGAAAAAAAAATATTGTAAAGAGTCAGAAAGTGGAGAAAAGACTTAAGAGACTAATTCAGAGTACCAGACACAGAACAGCAGGTTGACCTCTGCACAGAGAATAAGGATTACATTTCTGTGAAAGAACAAATTGAACTGCACTGAGCAACCAAGAATGTTTTGTGCAAAATGTTTACGAAGACTTTTTTTATTTAAAAAAAAACACAGATTCTCCAATATACTCTTAAGAATTTAACAGTTTATGACTTACTGAACTTTGTTCATGATTCCTGTACAAGTAGCTACACAAAGTGTGTGTATCGAGCAGCAAATGTGCAGGTCAAGTGAAACTGAGATACTAGTGTAGACAAACCACCATGAGCTGCATTTCCACAGAGATCTGTTTTGATTTTCAAGCATCAGAATAGTTAACCTAGAAAATCAGGACACTTAACCTATGAGGAAAAAAACACCAAAGCTCTTTTTTGCCCTTCAAAGACTTCCACTACAAAAGATATGATTGCAATAGCTTGAGACAGGAGTGAGGAACTTGTGGCCTTCTAGGTACTGTTGTAGCCCAACAACATCTAGAAGGCCCCATTTTCCCCCTGGCTTAAGCTTTGTTGTTGTTATGCACTGTCAAGTCACCTCTGACTCACAGTGACCCTATGAATGAGCGCTCTTCAAAATGTCCTGTCCTCAACTGCTCAGCTCAGCTCTTGCAGATTCAAGCCTGTGTTCACTTTTACAGAGTCAGTTCATCTCATATTTGGTCTTCCTTTTTTCCTGCTGCCTTCCACCTTTTCTAGCATTATTGTCTTCTCTAGGGAATTCTCTTCTCATGATATGCCCAGTTTCAACATTTCTGCCTCCAGAGATATTTTAGCTTGATTTGATCTAGGGCCCACCTGTTTGTCTTCCTGGCAATTCAGGGTATCTGCAAGGCTCTTCTCCAACACCAATTTCAAACAAATCTTTTTTTTTCTTGTCACCTTTCGTAAGCTTTAGATATACTGTTTAAGGCAGACCTCTTTATGTCAACTTCAGGATCCCAAAAATGTGTGCCATCTTGATAGTTCCTCAGAATTAATAATGTAGATTACTGTATTTCTATGATTTGAGTGATCATAGGACATAAGGGCTTTTGGTTCACAAGAGCTTCTCTGTTGCTCACAGGTAATCTTACTAAATTTGACATTGACATGTTTCCCTCTAGCTAAATAGGTAACATGATTGATCTTCATGCCCTATACTGTGGGGTTTTTTTGTCTTGGAGAAGCAACTCCTGTGTATTACTTGAGTTGTCCTGTTGCTGTACCTTCCCTTTACTCTCCTCTTTAAATACCACCACGTTTTTGTCTTCTTTATTTTTTAATTTTTATTTTGTATTTGCCCGATAGCACAGACTAACATGGCTACCTCTTCTACAACTACTATAATGCAAAATGTAGTCCCTAATAAGATACTCCATAAATTATATTGAGTTCTGTCTGCACAGAACATAAATGGATGAGATGCACCCCTTTCATAGCAATGACTAATTTAACCCAACAACTGCATTTATACCAAACAAGCAACACACACCATACATCAGCAGTGGGAACTTTGTAGTCTGCAGACCACATGTAGTCCACAGGAGCTTTTTGTGTTCTCCAGAACCCTCACTGCCAAAGTATATTTTCATCCAAAATCAGTGGATTTGGGAAATACAGTCCCACCTATGTAAGCAACTGAAACAAAGCTAGGTAGTTCCAGTTCAACGTCTATTGTAATCAACATTCCCTCTAAGACATACAGACACACAGTGCCACCTCAAGGGGGGCACAGCCAAGCCAGTGTTGCTGCCCATTTGCTTCCAGTTGCAGCTGGAACCCCATATGTGTGGGGCAGAGCCCCCATGCAACACTCTGGAAAACTAAGAGGAAATGGTTGTTGTGTATTTTTTGGGCTCTTTGGCTGTGTTCTGAAGGTTGTTCTTCCTGACATTTCTCCAGTCTCTGTGGCCGGCATCTTCAGAGGACAGCAGAGCACAGAGTTCAGTCCTCTGAAGATCCTGGCCACAGAGACTGGTGAAGTTCAGTCCTCTGAAGATGCCGGCCACAGAGACTGGCGAAACGTTAGGAAGAGCAACCTTCAGAACACGGCCAAAGAGCCCAAAAAACCCACAACAACCATTAGATCCCGGCCGTGAAAGCCTTCACAAATATAAGAGGAAATGTTGATCACAACACCAAGCCTTGATTGTTAATGCCACATGCAAAATTCATCTGCATTCATATAATGTGCCTCCATTATTACTGTACTGCCTTGAACACTCTTGCTTCCTGTACTTACTGGAGAACATCCCTCTGCTCCAGGTTGTATTTTCCCCCATTCTTCATTGCTACATTATGGATGGCCTCAATAGCTCTGTCAATTGACTGGAGAACCACATCTTGTTCCAGCACCTGTGGAATACAAGACCCTAAAGTTAAGCATTTCACCTCCATCTTTCCATGAAAGCTCTAAAGAACAACCCAAAATTGATAAATGTAGCCATCTTAATTAACGTTTTATAGACACCCTTAGAAACTCACACATAGTTTGTAGTCCTCAGAACAGCAACATATATTTTCAACAGGAATCAATTTTCTCATTCTATTTCTTACAGGTATTTTGCCCAAAGTTTCTTTAAAAATAAACACATAAAAAAACCCTGAGAGTGTTTTTAAAATATACAAAATGGATTCTGTCTTTACAAGATTTATTGGTGGAATAGAAAAACATTTGTTTGGGAGCAGCAAAGAATACATCACCGCTCCACTCACCCATCTTAGGCCCTGGAGTCCCAGCAATTCATTACACATGAAGATCAATGACAAAACTTCAAAGGCGCAAGACAGCTTCTCAGATCAATTTCACATTCAGATTGCCACAGTGACTCTTCCACCCTCCACTGCAAGTTGTGACAATTTTACGTTTATCACCATTTGTTGTCTTTGCTTGCCTCGAGAATAAAAGAAGTGCTGATTTGCCAACCTTGCAGCACCCCTCAAAAGAAGTCAGGCATTAGCACTGCATGTATGCAAGTTCATGCAAACAGATGCCTAAAAAAACATTGTTGTTGTTCAGTCGTTTAGTCGTGTCCGACTCTTCATGACCCCATGGACCAGAACACATCAGGCCCTCCTGACTTCCACTGCCTTCCAGAGTTGGGTCAAATTCATGTTGGTAGCTTCAATGACACTGTCCAACCATCTCGTCCTCTGTCGTCCCCTTCTCCTCTTGCCTTCACACTTTCCCAACATCAAGGTCTTTTCCAAGGAGTCTTCTCTTCTCATGAGATGGCCAAAGTACTGGAGCCTCAGCTTCAGGATCTGTTCTTCCAGTGAGCACTCAGGGTTGATTTCCTTCAGAATGGAGAGGTTTGTTCTCCTTGCAGTCCAAATGACGCTCAAGAGTCTCCTCCAGCACCACAATTCAAAAAAAGAGATTGCCTACCTGTAACCATAGTTCTTCTATTGGTCCTCTGTGAATTCACACAAATTGGTTGTTCTGTGCCTGCGCTGAATGTCTCAGATGATTCTAGAGCTTAAAAGTACAAAGTTAGTGGGACGGTCTCCTGTGGAGCACATGCTCTGCACACCTAAGATTCCCCTCAGTTCCTAAAATTTGTCCGCCGGACAGAAGAATCATTTAATATAACCTGTGACAGACAGAGGGGAGGATGGGTGGGGTTTATGAATTCACAGAGGATCACTAGAAGAACTATGGTTACAGGTAGGTAACCTCTTTTTCTTCTTCGTGGCCTCTGTGAATGCACACAAATAGGCAACTAGCAAGCTTCACTTACCCGATGGTGGGACGTCATGGTAGGAAGGATGCCAATACAAATCTGCCAAATCCAGCATCATTGCATGCTCTCACATCTAAGCGGTAATGCCTGACAAAGGTCAGTAGGGTAGACCAGTGGTTCTTAACCTTGGGTTACTCAGGAGTTTTGGACTGCAACTCCCAGAAGCCTTCACCACCAGCTGTCCTGACTGGGGTTTCTGGGAGTTGCAGTTCAAAAGCATCCGAGTAACAAAGGTTAAGAACCACTGGGGTAGACCATGTTGCAGCATGACAGATGTTAGGAATCTCAATTCCGCACTGGAAAGCAGTAGATGTTGACAGTGCTCTAGTGCAATGTGCATTCAAATGATCAGGAGGTGGTTTACCTGACAGTTCATATGCCAGAGAAATAGTTTGGACTATCCATCTGGAAATGGATTATGATGAGGCTGGGCCTCCCTTGTGAGGTCCATGGAAACATATAAAAAGTCTGTTAGTTTTCCTGGAAGCCTTAGTTCTGTCAATATAAAATGTGAGTGTCTTACATCTAGCATGGGGAGCATGCGCTCTAGAGAGGTTGATGGTGATGGGGAAAAATGGTAATATAATTGGTTGATTTAGATGAAATTCTGATACAATCTTGGGCAGAAAAGAGACATCAAAATACAAAGTCACTTTGTCTGGATGAAATTGGATAAAGGGTGGATCGGAATGAAGAGCAGCAAGCTCACTGGCTTTTTTAGTAGACGTTATAGTCACCAGAAAAGATGTCTTTAGAGAAAGCAACCTAAGATTTGAAGAGGCCATTGGTTCGAATGGTGGGTGCATGAGAGCATTAAGGACAATTTGTAGTGACCATTGGAGAATAATATGTTGGTGTGATGGACAGATGTTATTGAGTCCTTGAGTAATTTTTTAACCGTAGGGTGAGATAAAACTTTGGCTGACGTGGAGTTATCTGGTTGATGGGCAACAACTGCTGATATATAGACTTTTAAAGTGGAATGAGAGAGTCCAAATTCGAAGAGATGTAGTAAGGTAAGTAGTGTCTTCTAGGAAACAGGTATTGCAGGTATTTATTTCCGTATAATTAAGGAAGGCTTTCCACTTATTTGCATATAGAAGCTGAGTTGATGATATTCATGCTCGATCCAAGATGCACTTCAAGGCGGGAGTATCCTCCGAGTGTCAAATTCAATGATGGAAGGTCTGGACGGCAGACCATCCCTTCATTCTGAGTTAGGAGGTTGGGAACCAGAGAGAGTCTAAACGAATCTGTTGACATCGATTTGAGGTGAGTGAACCATGGTTGCCTCGCCCACCAGGGAGCGAAGAGGATCGCATTCGACTGAAAGTGCTGGAGATGGATAATTGTCCATTGTATGAGTGGTATTGGTGGGAATAGATAAAGTAATTCCCTGTTCAAATCCGTCATGAACGCATCCCCGATGGAGTTCTTGTCTGCTCCAGCTTGAGAGTAATAGACACTGCATTTGGCATTTGCACTTGAAACGAAGACATTGATGGTAGGTACTCTCCAAAGGCAACAGAGTTGATCGAAAATGGTATCCTTGAGGAACCACTTGTGAGTCCTCGATGTCATACGGCTGAGATAATCTGCTATGTAATTGTCATCCGTGGAAATATGTACTGCAATAAGGAAGATGTGCAATCCGATGTAGGTGATGGTCTGTGCTGGTTTGAGATGAGATTTTGTATAGTTTACTTTGAGTCCGAGGTTCTGAAGTGTGTTGAGCGTGATGGTTGTAGCTCTCATGGCATTTTGGTACGACGTTGCAACTATCAGTCGTCTATGTATGGGTAGATGTTTATACCCTGAAGGCGGAGATGTGCTGCAACTGGTGCCACACACTTTGTGAAAGTCCTCGGCGCTGTGGAAAGTTGGAATGGTAGGGAACAGAATTGGTACACGATGTTGTCGAATTGGAATCTGAGAAATTTTGATGAGATGGATGGATCAAAATATAGAAGTAAGCATACTGTAGATCGATCACAACAAACCATTCTCCCCTTTATCTGGGGTTTTCGAAAAGGCTGGCATCGATGGGACTGATTTTGATTCCGAAAGGATGATGTCGATGGTGGTGGACCTTGAAAGGACCTGTCAACTGGTTGTGATCTGAATTGTCGATATGGCTGGAATGTCTGATATGATTGTTGTTGAAATGATTGTGGATAGAATTGAGTCCGACTGTATTGAGGTTGTTGGTATCGAAAGAATTGTTGCTTGGTGTATGATCTTGCCATTTTCAGGATTTTATAAAGGTTTTCCATAGTCTCGTCTGTTTTCTGACGAAAAACCTAATGTATGGAAGTGAGAGCTGGACCATAAAGAAGGCTGACTGCCAAAGAATTGATGTTTTTGAATTGTGGTGCTGGAGGAGACTCTTGAGAGTCCCCTGGACTGCAAAGAGAACAAATCTCTCCATTCTGAAGGAAATCAACCCTGAGCGCTCAGCTTCAGGATCTGTCCCTCCAACTCTAGGAGGCAGTAGAAGACAGGAGGACCTGGCGTGCTCTGGTCCATGGGGTCACGAAGAGTCGGACACGACTTAATGTCTAAACAACAAGTGACATTAAGGATTAGGAATAAAAATAGAACACAAAGTATATTTAAGCCAATTGTTTTTGGTGGATCTAAATATGCTTAATTCTGAATTAGATTGGAACCCATGTGCTGCATTATTACAGTAAATTATCAGTATTTATGTCTAACAGCACAATGGTGTACATTCCACCTAATGGATATACATAGATTTATTCAGCAATTACAATTTTGTTGCTTTGAAAACTTCAATCTATAATTCAGCAAACTTAACTCTGTCCTGGATAAGTGACCTTGCTTTTTTGTCCTTGCATGCATACTAAGAGCCAAGAGGATATCACTCATTTCACATTTCTATCTTCATCCCTACTGTCTTTTACAGTGATGCAGCACCAGAGATCCTAAATTGAAGTTTATAGCTCTTTAACTATTCATTTATTTACTTCATTATTTGAAGCATCTGAATCTACTTATTCAGACAAAAAGATCCATACAGGAGCCTTCATTCAGTCAATAATAAAGACTGCCTGCCCTATAGGGTTGTAATCTATAAAACACAACACAAAAGGAAAAAAGAATGGTGAGGCAAAAGAAGAAAAGCAAACTCAGGCTTCAATTCTTGAAATCATATTTTAGGTCTTTAATATTTGGGATGCATGTAGTTCAGAGAGAGGTGGGCAGTATCTCCACAAACTCCATCTGCAACACCCCCAAGCTTCCCTCAGCTGGGCTGCCACTATTAAGTACAAGACAGGGACTCCTGTCCATGGATACGCACATACCCAAACAGACATCAAGTGTGCCATCACTGTCTAAACATCTGGAACTCCATCTGCCACTTCACCCTGTGGAAGCATTTTACTTCAGCCTTTAGTTAGGCTAACTCTTTGGTAAGTCTACTATCACAGATTCCCAAACAGAAAATCTTTTAGAAGTTGCATTTTTCTTTCCTTCTACGCCCAGTCAGCATGGGCATTTATTACCTTATAACTGTTCCTATGAAACAAATAAATGTACAAAACAAAGGGTATTATTTTTACAACAGATTTATGGATTAATAACAGTACA